ATCTAACAAACATGTGGTTGCATTCAGCCTCCCCAAGACCCTGTCCACGTCCTCGGGAGCAACAGAGTCAAACTCCTCCCATACAACCATCTCAAGACCTGCTTCCGTCTCCTCCCCCTGGGCCAACCAGTCGGAGTCCAAGCCTTCTCGGATCCGAGCGACTTTGTCATGCAGATATTGAGCAAAATCCTCGGCCCTCTCCTCCAGGGGATCCCCCCCTCCCCTCAGTTGAAGGAGGGAGCGGGTCACCCTGAAGAGGGCGGCCGGGCAATTATCTGATGACGCGATGAGTGAGGAATAGTAGTTAGTCCTAGCCACCCTCATCGCCACTAGGTAGGATCTAACATGTATCCTTACCTGTGTTCGATCGGATTCGGTTCGGCTGGCCCTCCAACTGCTCTCTAGGCGTCTTTTCCAACGTTTCATCTCTCTCAGCTCCCCGGTGAACCAGGGAGCCAGTCGAGATCTACGTCGGGTCAGAGGCCGCAAAGGCACGACTCGGTCCAATGCTGCAGCAGCAGTTGTCTCCCAAGCCGCCGCCTGATTTTCCGCCGAGTCGTGGACCAGATCCTCCGGATATGGCCCAAGCTCCGTCAGGAACCTCTCAGGGTCCATCAGTCGCCTGGGACGGAACCAGCTAGGCGGTTCCGTCTCCCTGCGGCGAGGGGGAGCGGTCCGGAAGTCCATCCTTAGGAGAGAATGATCTGACCATGACAAGGGCTCAACAGCTATTTCCCCTATTGTCAGATCATTCTGCCACTGGCCTGAGACAAAAATTAGATCCAGCGTGTGTCCACCCGTGTGAGTGGGGGCATGAATTCATTGGGTCAAGTCCAAGGCCGTCATGGAAGCCAAGAACTCCTGAGCTGCCGCCGACGTCCCACCCACTGATGGCAGGTTGAAATCCCCCAAGACCATAAGTCTGGGGGTCCCAACCGCCACCCCGGCTATCACATCAGCCAGCTCAGGCAGGGCTGTTAATACATAGCAGGGAGCCAGGTATATAATCAACAAGCCCACTTGCACCCCTTGCCCCCACTTCACAAGGAGGGACTCCACGCCGTCTATCTGAGGCACAGTGGTCTCCCTTGGACAAAGGCTCTCCCTTATAATGACCGCTACCCCCCCGCCCCTACCCCGGGTCCTTGGCTGATGGAATGCCTGAAAACCCGGCGGGCANTTGAACAATTTAAATAGTTTTTTGTTGGTAACCGCTGCATGCCACCTCTCGGGGTTCCACACCCCATCCTCGAGGTAGGCCCTAGAGATGTTACTGGGCCAGGCCTGCGCGAGGGGTGAGTCGCGCAGGGCCAGCAGGACCGTCTTAGGGTACATAAGTCCGGCAAAGGGAGTCCATGGCACAGAAGGGAAGATGTTATATTAGCAGTCCTCAGGTCTTCTAAACCAGGGCCAGAAGGAAACAGACCTCGAGAGATAGTCCTAAAGTCCTCCAGGTCGGGTCCTCTAGGCCGGGGCGGGCCAAGTCCAAATCCAGGCCCCAAATCCTCCCCCGGCCGAGGCCGCTGGAAAGGCCGCTGAGGTCGCCAAAGCCGCTGGAAAGGCTCCAAAGCCACCGAAAGGCCGCCGAAGAAGCCACCAAAGCCGCCGAAACCGGAACGGCCGAAAAGGCCCTCGAAGAGGCCGCTAAACAGGCCGCCAAGGCCATCGCGGCTGCCGGAACGGCCACCGAGGCCCAAAGACCGCCAAAAGGGCCGCTGGAGGGGCCACCGAGGCCACCGAGGCTGCTGAAAAAGCCGTCCGAAGGCCGCCGAGGCCGCCGAAAGGGCCGAAATGGTTGCTGAAGGGGCCGTTGGAGGGGCCGTCAAGGCCGCTGGCAAAGTTCTTAAAGAGGCCGCCGAGGCCGCCGAAGAGGCCACCAGGTCCGAGAGGGCCGCCAAAAGGGTCGCTGGAAAGACCGCCGAGGTCGCCAAAGATGTCTCCGAGGCCGAGAGAGATGTCTCCGAGGCCGAGAGAGGCCGCCAAAGGTGCCTCCGAGGCCACAGGGGCCGCCCAGAAAAGGCCGCCCGGGCCACCGCGTCCGCCAAAGATGCCTCTAAGGCCTCTAAGGCTGAGCGGTCCACCCAGAGGGAAACCGCCAGCGAAGCCGCCGAGGACGGAAAGACCGGGAAGGCCGACAAAACAACTACCCGGTCAGCTCCGCGTCCCCGCGTCACCTCGCATCCCAAATCCAGTCCCGGGGAACTCACCGGGGAGAAATCTACCAGGGGATGGGTCTCCGGACCTCCGGGGGCCTCCAAGGCTCCCCTCTGCCCATTTTCGGTCTCCGCTACTGCGGAGCTACCTACGGACGTACGTACCAATCAATATATGGTAAGCAATATTGAGTTACATTGACTAGCACTATAACTCAATATAAGCAATTTCCTTTCCTTTCTTTTTATATCCTAAACGTTCGGAAGACAACAGTTTAAAACACACTTTTTTAAACCCAACTGTAGTAATTTCCTTTTAAAATGCTTAAAAATAGAGAGGGGGATAATTTGCATCCTTCAAATGTTCCTATTTGAGCAGCCTTTTTCTTGCAAAGCAAAAGTCAACAGTTTTCATGAGCCTTTTAACGAAATGTCATGCATCTCTGTAAAATGACGAAGTGTCAAACAACAACATGGGCAGTAGTGCCCATGGGGAGGGCATCGAATACAAAAGTAGCACTATGGCATAATGTTGCAAGCCCAATTCTTTATAACATGTGCATTACAACACCATATGCATCTACAAAATGGGCAGAGCCATATTGAGTTTGTATGAAGCCAAGGTACAAGAGTCCATGTTTTCACAATAGTTCTATAAACTAAACTGAGTTTATTTTACAAATGCAGTCACTTAGATTCACTTCATTTTGATTCCAATATGGGAATGTATCATATGGAAGTGTTCTCAATCAATACACATGTAGCTGTTTCCACCTCTATCCCCCCAGCATTAATCTCAGAATTGGGCCCCTGGAGCAATGAAGAATAGTATTACCCTACTGAATTTCTTTTAACTCATCATTATGGCCAAGATGGGACAGAAGTCTTGACTATGGAAGTAATGCTTTTTGAGATATAGTAATGTATAAACCAGATGCAAGAGAACCCAACTTCCAGATAAAAGAACCCCCTCCCTGAATCCATTATATATTATCTTGGATATCAGTATGAGGATATAACTAAAATACATTAGTAGAAATCATGTATCCCTAAACCATAGAATATCTTGAAGATCAATAAATATATTGTTAAAACTGCATAAAATAAAGTTGGCACTGCAAAATGGTGGATTTTTTTTTACAAATAATGGTTGTCAAAACATAGCCTTTAGCATCTAAACCACCATCAATAAACATAGCCTTTGTTTAAGAATTTTGATTGTATAGGGGTGACACCATAACTATGGTCTCTTCAAACTTTTTGAAGGACCAGAAGTTAACTGACATGTTACAATTTCAAAAAGAAAATCGGACATATATACTGCGTCAGATTATAAGAGTGGTTACTTTAGAAATCCTATTTTCTTTCTATAATTATTCCCAGGTGTTCTCAATTGGGTATAGGGCACTCATCTGATTAGGAATGGTCTTTGTAGATCATCTGCTTTATGAGATTTAATACGTTATGGTGAATCATCTTCTAGCCTTTTCAGATCTTTCTTGGTACAAACTTGACGTGGACAGTGATATTTAGAATAAGCAACAGCATACATGGAGAATTTGAAATAAAGAATTTCACTGCTTTCAAAATTACTTCTATTTGTTCAGAATTCTCTGATTGTAAGTCCCATTATCCACAAAACTGTAACATCACTTGAGGTTGGGAATGTGGCAGCTATAGTATAACACGTTCAGAGATGCCAGCAGAGGATTCTAATGGACTTGCAATATCTTATACTTACAATCCCTTTTTTAAATCCTGCCTTTATTATTTTTATAAACAACTCAAGGCAGCAAATATATCTAATACTTCTTTCTCCGCCTCCTATTTTCTCCCCACAACCCTGTGAAATGTTTTGGGCTGAGAGAAAGAGAGAGTAACTGGCCCAAATTACCCAGCTGGCTTTCATGTCTAAGGTGAGACTAAAACTAAACAGTTTTCCAATTTATCATAATTTTATAAATACTAATGTAGTTTAGTATACTGATAGTAAACTGACCCACATTTGCAGAAATACTTATTTGTACATGTATAAATGTCAGCTTGCCTCAACTTAGGCTTCTAAGTAAAAACAATTCTTAACACCCCTGGGTAGAGGAAAGGTATGATTTACTAAAAGCCAAGTGAAATGCAGTAGTGCAGTGGTTCTCAACCTGTGGGTCGGGACCCCATTTGGGGTCAATTGACCATTTCACGGGGGTCGCCAAGCAAGGCTGTCCGCCATTTTTTTGTCCGCCATTTTTTTCCCTTTTTCGGCGGGTGCCTTACCTCCCTTGGGCTGGGCCAGCTGGTGGTCGGCCTGCTCCGTCTCTGCCGCTTGCCAGCTACGCCTCGGCCGGCGCAGGGGGCGGAACCACACATGCGCGGCGCTCCCGGGCAGGGAAAGTCCTTGACTTACGACCGGTTGGGTAGTCCTCGACTTACGACTGGTTTAGTCCTCGACTTACGACCAGTTTAGTCCTCGACTTACGACCGGTTGGGGTCGCGGCATTAAAAAGGTTGAGAACCACTGCAGTAGTGCAAAGCCAGAACTGAATTTACGTGCCAAAATCCCAAGTGAAAACTTTTCCCCACTTAGGCACTTCCCATTGCTGGTGCCCCATTGTCCAATCAATTTCAAAGAAGATGTTTTAAAAACGGCCACTCTAATTGTAGGCCGGTTTACAGCTGCATTCTTTTCATCATGGAGCAACTTTAGAAGGCCTTCTTGGGTAAGGCACTTTCACTTTCTTAACTTTCACTTTTCTCCCCCCCCCCAGCGCTCTCTTCCCCTTCCCCCAGGGTTCATGGCAGACTGGTACCGAACAACTGCAGAGCGCAGGGGTGAGATGGCAGTTCTGACACTAAACCTTTTCAAGACTTTTTAATTTAAAATATTATTTTGTTATTGTTCTGTTGTTATTTGTTATTGTTATTGTTCTATTGCTATTGTTCTATTATTTTTTATTATAGTTCTGTGTATATCTGCTTCTCCTTTCAACCATATAGGAAATGGCAGATAAAAAGCACGCTAAATTCCACAGAGATAAAAGTAACTTCTATTCATAGGGAGGAATGGAAAATATAGTATAAGAGATGAAATCTGTAATTATGTTTGCCTTTAATATAATTAATCTTTATGATAGAATTTATAAAATGGAATTTTTTAGGATTACAGTACATGATCAACAATTAAAAAGTACTTTTCCGTTGCAGATCTTAATTCGTATAATAAAATTGCAATAAAGCTTTGCTGCAAATTATAATGCAATAAATTAAAATGTAAAAATAGAAGATATAGAAAGTGTTTATACCATTGTTTTATTTTGGTTTGACAAACTGTAGATGCTGTGAAATGCCTTGGGAAATAATTGCAAAGACAAGGCAGCCATTCTGTAACATTATTACCTACCCAGATATAAAGAAAAAGCAACTTACATTAAATTAAAGACTGTTCTGTCTAAAAGCTAGTCCAGCTATCGGTAAAGTGCTAGCAAGCATAGCCCTAAAAAACAGTGACTGTTTAAATAGGTGCAATGAGGAAATGTTTTTAACTATCAGGTGACTTAATCACCAAAGACAATGTGGTATCACTAGGCCAAGACTTGGGAGCAAAACACAAGTTCCTACATAGTAGAAACATGAGGAAAACCTTCAAATATAATAGATGAGCAAAGTAAATCATAACTGCCATTAAAAGGAGACAGGGAAAGAGAGCCTAAAATTACCTAGCTGGCAACGGTCTCCTCTACATGGAGAAAATTAGCATCTAAAATATCCTTGGTCTGGAAGACAGGATGCACTGCAGCATCCTAGACTATAATTACATTAATTACATCTAAGATTCATTCAACTTGTTATCCAGCCAAAAAGAAGAGCTAGGCAAGTATCTCCCATATACTTATTCCAAAGCGTTTGGATATAAGATATTTTTTTTAAAAAAATTATGTTGATATGAATGCCCATCTAAATTTGACAATATATTAATGGAAAACTGTTGCCAATTTAGAATGAAACAGAACTTTAAAACCCTCACTGAAGTGTCAAGGGGCTTAATCTGCTTCTGATCTTATTGAGCATCACATAAATCTGCTCCTGATCTTATTGAACATCACGTTCCTTGGTGATGTTTGGATAACATTTTGGGGGAAAAAACACTAAGCTTTTAATTACTTCTGACCTTTAGTTGAGATACTGTCCCCTCCTCACCATGCAATAGCTAACCTGGTGCTATTATTGCAAACTCACCCCACAATGGCAAATTAACAGGAGGCAGCTCACAATGCAGACATTCTTCTTCTCTATTATAAAATAAAGGAGTTCCTGATTTTGGGAAGGGGAAAGAAAAAAACCAGCAAAATCCACAATTAAGATATTAAGCCACAACAACTGTCTCTTGTAAATGCAGATTAATTTTCAAAAAAGCATCACTGCAGAAAGTTTATTGAAAGTACAACTTTTGATGATAGACATGCACATATTAAAATTTGTATCTAAAAACTTTTATTTTCCTACAATATTTTGGGTATTAAGATTTCCATCATCTGAAACTTCCAATTGCTGAAACATTTATACCAACTTTCCATTAATCTCTTTATTGTTTGATATGATTTTTTAGATTTAATTGCTGTCTTTATTCTTGGAGCTCGGGAAGGCATATATAATGCTCTCCCCTTTTTTTCCTCACAATTTCAGTCCTGTGAGGTAAATTAGATTGAGAGAGAGTGATTGGTCCAATAAGTCCTTGCTAGGTCCTTAGGCTATGTAAACACCAAATTGAAGAGTATCATCTTATAGTTAATTACATGTAAGACATTTGTTCATTGGTGCCCTCTTTATTCTATTATGCTCTCCCCACAGAGGTTCGTGAAGCACCTATCATCACAACTTTTAGCTGCTTGCTGAAAAAAATGGTTCCAGGAAATTATAGGCTAATCAGCTTGACATCAATATCGGGAAAATCTTGGAAAAGATCAAACAAATGGTAGATTTATCAGCTCCTAGAAATGAACAATTACTAGAAGCCAGCATGGGTTTGTTAAAAACACATCATGCCAGATAAATCTTATTTGCCTTTTTTTGATAAAGTTGAATATATTAGTGTATCAGGAAAATGCTGTGGACATAGTATGCTTGGACTTCAGTAAGGCACTTAACAAAGTACACCATA